CACCTTCTTCAGGGCTGGCCTCCTTCCCAACCTTCTTCCAGCCCCACCAGCCCTCCTCCACTTCCTCTTACTGACCCAGACTTCAGGAGATCAGCTCCTCTGCCGGAGTCTAGGGCATGGGCGAGAGAGGAGAGGGTGGAAAGGAAGACAGAGTCTATGATCTCAAGCAGTGGCAGGCCAATTCCACTGCAAGCAGTCAGGCACCGAGTTCCCGCCAGTCTGGAGGCACTCACTGCCTCGACCTCTCCAAGCTGGGTTTGTTTCCTCTGCTCAGCCTGTACTGGGAGAGGCCCAGGGGCTGCTGGAGGAAGCCCTGGCAACAGAACTTGGGTGAGCTTCTTAGAGGGCCTTCCCCAGGGAGGAGTGAGCAAAAGCTGATGGGAGGGGAAGCTGGGGTATATCCCCCAAGGAAATGAGTCTTGTGACAGGAAATGTAGTAGAAACAATCTGTCAGGTTCTGTCTCTGGTGGGCCCTGTGTTTACCGGGGCGGATGAGAGCCTGCTGCCCCAGGAATCGTTCTCTCCCTCTCTGCTCCCAGCCCTGGTGCACACACATAGAAGACCTGTCACAGGAGAAGGAAGTTCCGGAGAGGGCGGGAGGACCAGATGCAGGCCTCCCACCCTCACCCTCCACCTGCCTGCTTTCTGAGTCTGCAAATGTGTGTGTGCGTGCGTGTGCACACATGTGGATGAAGGAAGTGGAGAACAAGTTATGATGGGGTAAGCAGGGCAAAAGCCAGGAGCGGAAGAGCCCAGGCTGGAGGAGGCAGGGCACAGGAGGCACAGGATGTGGTCTGTGAGAGAATGAGCTGCACTTCTCTTTTGTGAGAGCAGCCCCTCCCCCATCTCAGGATTCATCCTACTATCAGGGCCCCAGGAATGAGTCCAAGGCACATCAGAGACCTGCACCACTGGACACGTGCAAGGAAAACACTGGTTCAGAAAGAGCTGGGAAAGCAGGAGGAGAGGGTTCAAAATGATTTGGGCAGCAAAGCGCTGAAGCTTTCAGTCTGGGTTGAAGGGCAAGGAGGTGTGGAGGGCAATACTGTGTTTGTCACTTCCCCTTTCCACTCCAAGCTGTAAGCACCCCTTGGGGAGAGGGTACAGAGGAGAGAGTTCTGGACAAGATAGATCCCATCTGGCCTACAACCTGGACCCTGAAAGGACTGAGGATTCCTGTGTGGAGAGCAGGGCAGAGAGGGCTTCTCAGGGAGCTGGGATTGTCTCCCTTCACCATACAAGCTCACTCATGGAAGACTGGCTGCACCCGGCGCCTGGAATGCTGGGGGAGGAGCGGGGAGAGGGTAGGAGCTGGGAGGGGCCAGGGAGTTCCTGGTAGTTTTCCCCAGGAGTCCACTCACAGAGACAGAGCCCTAAGGAAGTAAAGAATAACATTTGGTCTTTGTCAAAAAACAAGCAAGGGGGAGGGGAAAGGGAACAGACGGCAAGTGTCACACAGCTGCTGAGGTCAATCTGGAGCTTGGGGGTTAGGCGGCTGGGGGAGCCGGAGAGGAACAGGAATGGCTGCTGGGGCTCACCCATTCCCTGAACTCACTCTGCATAGTGGGCAAGTTAGTTTACCTAACAACCCAAGAAAAGTGGAGACGTTTAAACTGGCTCTCCCCAGAAGAGGAAAGAGAGTATGTCTGTGCCCACTGGAGTGTTTGCAGGTGAGCAGACACCTGCTAGGGGAGAAATGCTAGGGGAGTCCCAGGGCAGTGTCATCAGGAGGACACTCTCCTCCAGCCCCAGGTCCCACCCTGGGCTAGGCTGGGGTGAGGCTCCGGGAATGCAGTCCTCCTCCCCTCTCCCAATCCCCACCCCCCCAGCTGCCAGCCCAAGGTCATAGGCTGCCTCCTGAGCAGCTGAGGCCTGACTCACCTGTCACAGTAGAGCCCCCCACACCCCACCATCAACAGACACTAGGGTGGAGGGAGCATGATTAGCGGGATCCTGAGGGTGAGGGAGTGGAAGGACAGTTGGACAGTCTCTAGCTTCCCAGCACTATCTAGGAGATAAGATTTCCTTCCTTTCAGCAACTGCCTCAAGGCCCTCCCCCTAGGGAAAACAGAAACTGAAATGGGAATTCTAGGGTCCCTGTGAGGTCACAGGCTCCATAATGACCTCACACACGCAGGAAGGAGGAGGAGTGGCAGATAAAGGGGGTCAAGGATAATAGGTGGAAGAGCTCCGGGAGAAGAGTTAGGGAACGTGGGAGATTTGCTTCTTTCCCATAGGCCGGCAGGGTGAAGAGTGGAGAGGGCCAGCGACCTTAGGGGGCGGGACTACAAAGTAAGCAGAAACATCAGGTTGTTAGGGGCAAATCGATGGGAAGGGGGGGGCCTGGGGCTGCTCAGATCTGGTGGAACGGGGGCAAGAGTTGGCGACGAAGTGAAGGAAGCGAAAGGAGTCATTAAAGGGGCTGGTGGGGGCTGCTTTACGGAACGATCAGAACTAAGGTTGAAGAGGCCATGCAAATGAGCAAACCAGGTGAGGGGCGGGACCATTCTATAGGTGCGCAGATATGCAAATAAACAGAAGCGGAGGGCCGGGGACCCTGGGCGTTCCGTGCAAACGAGAAATGCGTTCATCGTCTAGCAGCTCTTAAAGGGGGAGGGGGGAGCGGGGTGGTAGCAGGTTTGTGCAAACCGCAGGGTCGAGTACCCCGACAGCCAGGAGAAGGGGCGGGCCGCACTCCCGGGCCCGGACAGAAACAAGCGAGGGGGCGGGGCCATGCAAATGAGGGTCCAGGCCGGGCTCGGGGTCGGGCGCACTCACCAGCCTGGGTGATGTCTGACAGGTCGTAGCTGCGGGCCGCGCCCCGGGGGAAGTGCTTCAAGCGCCGGTTAGACAGGTTCAGGGTCCCGGTGGCCACGGCCTCCTCTAGGGCCCGCTCTGCACTGCGGCTCCCGGGCAGACCCGGAGCCCCTGGAACGGAGGTCGTGGCCGCCGCCTCCTCACCCCCGGCGGCGAGTGGGGCCGCTACCGCCGCCGCCATCCGCTCCTGGCGGCTCCCGCTGCCTGACTGACGGGACCGGCCGTCCCTCCTGTCCCCTCCCCCTCCTCGGAGCCGCCGTAGTCGCTTCAAGGGGGAGTAAGCGGGCTCAGGGACCCCGCGGACCAATCGCGGTCGCGAGACGCGTCGGAAGGGGCTAATCAGAACCCGCCGGGGAGGTGGAGACTCCGGCGCCGGAGAGAGGCGAGAGAAAGGAGGGGGACGAGAATGGAGCGCTCGCCAACGGCCGACGCTCCAGGCCGGCCCACCCCGTGCAGCCGCATCCAATCACAATGCTTAGGGCTGGAGATGGAGCCAATCAGGTCCAACCAGGAGGCGGGGACGCGGGCGTTCAACCAGAGGGGATAGAGAGACCGCAAGCCCTGGGCGCCTGGTCCTCTTCCAACGAAGACCAATCGCGAGCCAGACACAGGCGAGTGACTGTGAAGAAGGCCAATTAGATCCTCCAGAGGGAACCTGGCCCGGCCTCTTCTCTAAGGGACGGCTCTACCTACCAATAGCATGGGCGAGAAGGTGGTCCCTTCGCTAAGGAGGAGGCGAGTGAGCTAGAATTTGAGGTAAAGATTGTGAGCGCGGCGCGCCCGGCCGGCAGGGAGCAGCTGCAGGGCCCGGAGTCGTGTGTGCGAGCTGGGCGTGTTAGGGAGCGAGGCAGCTTTGAGGGCGTGAGGGAGACCGGGGGGTGCAAGACGACTGAGCAAGAGGCCAGTGCTCAGGGAGTCGTTGCGGCTGAAGGGACCGTGGAGGCCGCAGAGGCTGAGGCCCTGCGACGGTCTCTGGAGTCCGGGGCGGGGGCTTCCCAGAGACTGGAGATCCCCGGCTCAGCTCCTGGAAGGAGGGTCACGGGAGACGGGGAGCGAGCCTCGGCAGAAATCGGGATGGCAGGCCCTGGGGGGATTTAGTCTAGAAGGGACCGCTCACCTTGAAGAAGCCCTCTGATTTACAAATGAGGAGACTGAGGCAGAGGGCAGTTGATGAGTTGGCAGGAGCAGACAGCCAGTTACTGACAGCTTGCACTGGAAGCCAGCTTCCCACTGCATCAGCTTTTACAGTGGGCTTGTTCTGTTTGCACCCGCTTTGCCTCCCGAGGTGAGATGGAGTGGATCGAGGGGATCCAGATACAAGAGGAAGCTGACGATACTTTTTCTGTCTGCTGAGAGATCATAATATCCTCTTAGCTGGCATAAGGACCTAATGCAGGCCACTTAGTATGTTAATAGTTGCCTAACCACAAATAACTGAAGGGCCTTTCTCATCAGTCCCATCTCAGGGGTTGATATTCCTAACAATTATTGAATTACTAAAATTCCATCCTAGGTATCCCAAACCAGCTGTTTCCTAGTCATCACGAATAAGGGAGTTTGATTGGATGGTTGACAGCCTGTCAGCTAGCACAGTAAAAGATTGATTCTGTAATGCTGCACAGCTGAAGGCTGGTTGTCCAGGACTGGATTCCTTTGAGCCCCTGGAAGAGTCAGCTATCCTTGGATTTATTGGTATAGATCTTCTGCCCCTACCTGGACAGACATATAACCCCAACTCCTGCTATATCTCCTCCTAAATGTCACTCTCCTGTGTCCCCCCATAAAACTAAGTTCATAGCTTAGACTCTGGGAGATATCCTAAGCTTTCAGAGTACATCGATCCCTTTCTTCCACCTTAATAGGTTGCCCATCATATGCCATCATGTTAGTGTCCCAGGAAAGCAGTCAGCTTCTGGATGTTTTTCACGATCCTGTAAAGAGGTTGTGCGGAATTGTTCCCCCTTCCATCTGGTGCATGCTTTCATGAGCTAGATGGTCATTGGCAGGCTCGCCTCTCCCCTTCACCTGTCAAACTGAGTTTATACTTTTTTTTTTTTTTTTTTGGAGTTTGGAGGCCCTGGTCTGCTGAGACATGAAGAATTCACCAGTGTTTCTCTAAAGAGTTAGTGCTAAAAGGGCCTCAAGTGGAAAAACCCCCTACTACTCCCTGAAAGTAAAGGCTTCATCTACCAGTAGTGCACACTTTATTTCTCCTCTAAAATGCATATCCCTTGAGCCATTGGGTGGCTAAAGCTTAGCCTAGAACTGAGGATTTGTCTAAGAGAGAAAATCCCTGGCAAGGTTGGGGAAAATAGGTCACAGTGGCTGGGCCGTGAGGTCACAGAGAGGTTTGTCCACCCCAGACTCCATGGGGGAGGGGCCTAGGAGGCAGAGGGGCCCCAGAGGTCCCCCAAGCCCAGGCAGAGGACATGGTGTGGGAAAGGCAGCAGGGACGGGGGCCAGGGAGCTGAGTACTGGGGGCCAAGGGGCCCAGAGAGATGAGGGCAGGAGCAGGGCGGGAGTGGTCAGGATGGTGAGGAGAAGCCAGAGACGGAAGCTGCAAAAATTTACCGGGCTGTGCGGACAGGAGGAGGGGCTCAGGGTGAGGGGGGAGCAAGGCAAGGGAAGGGCAGGAAGATGGCAGCCAGAGATCGGGGGAGGGGTTATTTGGAGAAGTTGGACCAAGAAATAAGGCAAACAGGGAGTAGTGACTTATGGACCTAGAGAGAAAGATGGGAGGATTTGACAGCACAGGGCTGGAAGTCAGAGCTATGAGCCCCCAAGATAGTAGTTAATGAAAGACAAGCTGAGACAAGGGAGACAAAGAGGCATGACCCTCATGGAACCCCCATGCTCCCCCTTCTTCTTGAGTAGGTGAAGCGGAGCTGCCCTTCATGTGGCCCAGAGCCTGGGGGTGAAGACAAGGGGAGAGGGAACCCTATTTCGGTTCAGTTGTTCCCGCCAGAGCTGGTGAGTCCTTGGGGGGGAGGTATTAAGAATAAAGGAGTGGGGCCGGCCCTGTGGCTTAGTGGTTAAGTGCGTGCGCTCCGCTACTGGCAGCCCGGGTTCGGATCCTGGGTGCACACCGACGCACCGCTTCTCCGGCCATGCTGAGGCTGTGTCCCACATACAGCAACTAGAAGGATGTGCAACTATGACATACAACTATCTACTG